TGTAAACTATAACGTACAATTGTTTTTACAGGTCAACCACACACTGTAGAAATTTCAACAATACAGCAACAGTTTTAAGTTTAGATACTACTCGTACAAATTAACACGACACTTGTTGTTCTATTCCTACGAAAACGATATTGTTAATACGTTTCCAAATAAACGTATTTTTCGATAATTTATAATGTAACAGTGGTAGATCCTGACACAGAATAATCTTCACGTCATCATAATATTGAAATAAGTATGTGATTTTAACAAAATTTTATGAACGATTGAGAATTATCCGATATTTCGTTAGCATAGACATAGAACAGGCGTAGGCATAGAACAGGCCTTCAATTAATGTCATGTTGATACTTAAGAGTTATACCTAAATCTAATTTACGTTAAAGTGTAGGTAAGAATTAAGGAAAAAAATATCCAAAATGCAATTTTTTCATAAATCACTTATTTTTCTTCGATTTAAACGTATACTAAAGGTTAAGTTAGAAATATGATTTAAGTTAGAAATATATTATGATACTTGCCAAATCAATCACCCGATTTAAATTTCATAATTTTTCACTATAATCAATAAATAAATTGAAAGTTGTTTTTTTTAATAAAATATATATTTTTTATATATAATTCTAAGCTCAGTTTTTCAGTTTGTCGTTGGCCTAATTCTCCGAGCCTTTCATACGTTCATTGTTTCATATACATAGTACCTATTTGTAAATTGTTTTTAGTAATTCTCCCACTATTGTCCTTATATTCGGCTAATTGTTTACAATTATTAACAATTGTTATAATTTTCTGAGTACAAGCCGTGTAATATTTGGTCAAACAAAATTCTATTAAATGGACAAATGAATTTACATATGCAAAAATATTGTATACAGGATTAAAATATTATTTTTTATTTTTTACCCGTTCCGTATTTAAACATTAAAACAAAGTCGCTTCCCACTGTCTTTACGCTGAGAGCTTATAAATTACACAACAGATTTTAATACGATTTTCATCAACATACAGTAATTTAAGACGAAGTTTTATATGTATAATGGAGGACCGAAGCCGCTGGCGGAAAGCTAGTAAATATATAATATAATAAAACAAATAGTTTTCTTTTGAATTCTACCTTTTAATACAATCCATTAAACTACTTGAACATTTAATAGAAGTTATAAATGAAATGGACATTCTAAATCTATCGTGTATACCGTACTTAAAACGTTTGCTAAGAAAAACAGTCTTATTCTAGGGTTGGCAATAGAGAGTATCCATCAAATAATATTTTTTCTGTCATCATCATCACCAACCCCAACTGGTAGGGCTCAGGCCTTCCCTATGAGTAGATCGAATAATATCGAATAGGGAGAACTGGCCACGCAGGCCCGCAGGTCCAGTGATGATAGACGAGACCAACGGCTTACGTGGTTTCCGAAGCACGGAATCATCATCATCACCAGCCCTTTTACGTCCCCACAGCAGGGGCTCAGGCCTTCCTTATGGATGGTTAAGGAGGATGGGCCATGACCCTCCACGCTGGCCTAGTAAATATATAATTTCGGATTGGAGGGTATTAACGACTGCAAATGCAGCCGGGACCATTGGCTTAACGTGCCTTCCGAAGTACGGAGTAGCTCGAGATAATATTTTTATGGTCATCCATCCCGTGACCGATCCTTGCGAAAGTTGCTTAACGACTACAATCGCGAGCCGCGGCACTTATCCACGACGCCACCGAGCTACCTAGCAGTTATAAGCACGGAATAGATCGTAAATTTTTTGGTGACCGGCCTTTGTGAAAGTTGTTTAACAACCGAAGAGACCGAACGCGCTAATCACTGCACCATCGCGATTGAGTTCCCGAAGATTTTATCTGTACCTATTTTGATTATTTTTTTTATGAATTAAATAAATAATTACAGCATTTTTATACATATTTTGAGCTTTACTATTCTGTTATAAATAAATCGTTAAACGCAGTAGAAATAAATCGTTAAACGAATATAGCGCTGTCACAGCATTAAAGCTTTCGTTCAAATCAAACTTTTATTACCTTTAAAGTAGGTTTCATTTGATTGAGCATTTAAGCCTGTTCTTCGCTGCGTTTGACACTATATTTTAAATTGAAGCAGGGCTAGCATTATCTAATCTATCATCATCATCAGCCGGAAGACGTCCACTGCTGAACATAGGCATCCCCCTTTTAACGCCACGACGGACGACATTGCGCCAGCTGCATCCAGTGGCCGCCCGCGACTCGGACGATGTCGTCCGTCCATCTAGTCGGGGGTCGACCCACGCTGCGTCTTCCGGTTCGTGGTCTCCACTCGAGAACCTAATCTATCATAATCTAGCTTATCTAATTAAAAAAATTTCAACTTGACATTTGAAAGATATTTACAAACTTCACCCCACAACTAATTGACATGTCATAATGATTGAGATCGCCATTTTTTGTGAAATATATTTAATGAAATATATTGTTAATTATAATCAAAGTCGAGATGCTAATAACTTTCAGAGTTACTTACGTCTAGCTCTTGAGAAATGTCAAACGAAAGAGTTGATTCTTTCGACGAGTTTAACTTAATTTATATTGTTCCTTGGTCATTGAAATCATCGTTTCTGAGAGCGATTGTGACTTTAAAAGATACACAAATCCATAAATCAGTATCATAATCGCTATATCTTCAAAGGGGATTGCGGTATATTTTAAAATAAGACAATCCACAACCCACTAGTGACAGAACAAATTCAACGATTTTACTCTACCAATTTCATACTAAGCAAAAGTCGTATTAAGATATTTTTGAGATTTTATCTACGATATAACAACAGTAAATACCATACCAATAAATTATTCAAGAAATATCTGTTATTTTTTGTTTTTATTAAAGCTATTTATCATTAAAGCATATAAAATAAAATTAATTAAATATAATGCATATATTCACCTGCGCTCGTAGCATAACAAAATCGTAAAATATTTGCCTACAATGCTCTTTCCTCAGTCACGTTAAAAATAATAACGCGTCCAACCAAATTGATCACAGCGTTTTTTGAAGCCGGTTAAAAAACGATATCGAATAACTAGACAACCCTAGTGACTGATCCTATAAAGGAAATGTCCACTTGGGTCTCTAATTATAATCCAGAGGGAAAACAAACATGACATAAAAGCATTCCTAAGTAATAGCTGGGGAAAAGGGCAGAACGTTTACACTTCTAGATATGTCGAATTCGGTTTGTTTATTTCGGGTGTTAAGCAAAGTATTTTTATTTTTTACTTTTAAGTTCAATCATTATCGTTAATCTATCGATGTCATAACTACTGACTTCATACGGATAGTTGACCTGCAAAACGTTAAAGCGCTTGAGTTAATCAATGGTCACCCATCCTATAACCGACCGGAAAAGGATGCTTAACTTTATCAATTGGAAAGTTAATAATTTCTGGTTTAGGGATAACATCGCTCAGATCATTGAATTTGAAGAAGTTTTTTTATTTGAAGAAACACTTAAGCAGTCGGTACGAAAAAAAAATAAACTTAAGTGAATGTAATAAGGCCATTTAAAAGCACTATATTTTTGCATGATAAAATAAATCATAGGAAAAACAAAAAGAAAAATCAGTTTTCTATTAATGTGCCTTGACTTTAAAATCCTCTTAAACGCTATGATGCACAAGTTCATAAACCAAAGAGTAAATTATTCATAAAAAAGACAAATAATACCACAAATGAAACATGACAGTGTCAGTGGATGACTATTATTTTATCGCAATTTAAGTTTATCGAAGTCTTTAAAATCACTATAATCATTGTCATCTTTCATTCATTTCATTTTCATTTTACATGTAAAAATTAATTTATTCACTTGGCATTGGCAGAATTGTACGAAATACGCAAGCCATTAATAAAAAAAAGTAGAAGTTTATCGAATTTTCAATTTCACATCGTTCACTCACAAGGAGTGGCACAATATCCCCCAATCGGATATTCAAGACATCATGGATGGATTGACAAAGCGGCTTCAAGAAGTCATAAGGGGCAGAGGTGGCAACACCTACTATTAATTTTTATTTTTTCTTTTAATTGCCCAATTATTTCTAAAAACCAAGGATTTAAAATTTTCGTTGAAGATTTTCAAAATATCGATTTTTGGTAAACATCCTTTAAAAAAAGACTTTTTCCAATATTTTTGTTGTTTATTTTTCTTTAAGTATAGTTTTGAACATTCCTTTCATAATATATGGTCTAAGTTTGGCGATTTCTGCGAATTGAAAGAAATAAGTAGGCGGTTAATTGTGCCTGTAAGTGTACTTCGAGAAAAGTATATAATCAAAGGATTATAGATAACGAGACAATCATATGCACAGTTAACAATAATTTCAGTATATTAATCAGCACCTTATCTGTTTTTCGTTCTTAAAATTATATTAGGTATGTAACTTCTCAATAAATACAATTTTATTTTTATAATAATAAACTTATATTTACTATTGCATGGCCTATCTTAATCACTATATGACAGCAAGGCAATTTTATTTTATGATCTAGTATATGTATAGTCTATCCTTAACTCTCACCAGTACTTCATTGACATGGACATTGACATTCCTAGGAAATCATTATCAGAACTCAACTTATAAATGAAACGCATATTCACAAGTAAAATTCTTTTGTGAGTTTTTTCACTAGAACAAACGCGCCTTCTTTAGTGCTGAAGACGACAGTTTAATTCATATAAAAAAGGTATATTATATAAAAAAGGTTGGAAAAATCAAGGACATTTTCGTAGGTACCTACACATATATACTGCTGCTATACTGCTTTTCTATGCTTTGACTATGCTAATTCTCATCCCAAATGTTTATAAACAAATATACAGTTTACAACTCGAAACAATTTTTTCTATCGATCAGTCATCTACTAGAATGTCTCGGCATTATTACAATTTAACTCAACTATTTTAATTTGTATTAATTTGTGTTAGTATAAAGGAAAATGAATAAAATATTAATATGGATTTTACCATTGCTATTGTGTTGTCAATGTACACAAGAAATCTGCCACGCTTGCTTCCACGGGACTTGCTTCTCCAAACGCAAATTATTTGAAGGTAAACAGTTCTCTGGACAAATTGCTGTAGATAGAATGGACAACGTTTTACATTTCCATTATAAAGACTACAGATCAAACGATTATACTGCAATTTTAGATTTATATTCAGACTCTCCTAAACTGGAGATTTTGCCTGTCGACTATTCTTTTGCGAGAGCAATCAACACAAAAACAGGCGAAGTGTATTTCTCTGGAGCTAAAGGCATATACGTGTACAATTCGGTTACTAAATCTACAGTGCCATACATGTTGTTTAATACTACAATATCACTTATGCAATTCAAAGATAAATTATATTATACAGAATTTAGAAGAGAAGGTATATACTTCGTAGAAAATAATAGAGCTGATGCTATGGAAGCATTAGCTGATTATATTGTAGATGATTTTGTAATAGATAAATTTAATAACATATATTTCATTAGCGATTACATCTTGTTTAGATACAAGAAAGGAGAGCATAAGGCTAAAATTTTCAGTAATATACCATATTCTCTAACTACTGATACAAAAGATAATGTTTATTTAATAGAAACAACAACTAGGACATTGTTTAAAATGGATTATGTGAGAGACAGGATAACGGAAGTAGGAATTTTTGGCAGCGGTAGCGTTTTCAACGCCGTTTTCGATAAATATAATAATCTGATTTACTGTGATGCTGTCGAAGAAAGGATTTATATGTTGCTGCCGACTTTTAGTAATTGTACAATTGTCAAAAGGAAAAGGAAGAAGGAAAATATTAATGTTAGTAAAATGATGTTTTGAAGAGATTGGTGATAGGAAAAATTAATAAAGAAGCCAATAACCAAGAAATGAAACAAAACAAAATGATAATCGACAATCTTGACGCAGATGAAGAAATCATATCTGTAGGTGTTTGTAAAATAAACAGCAAGAAATTTGTTAATAAATATTTTCATTTTTTATCCTACAAATTATGTTGGTGTAGCTCGGTGGCGTAATGGATAAGCGCCGCCGCCTGCGATCGTTGTTGTAAAGCAACTTTCGCAAAGGTTGGCCATGGTATACCGAAATATATTATCTCGAGCTACTCCGTGCTTCAGAAGACACGCTAAACCGTAGGTCCCGGCTGTATTTCGTCATTAATACCCTCGGATCCACGTAGGGCCAGCGTGAGGAGGGTTATGGCACATCCTCCTTAACGATCCATAAGGAAGGCCTGAACCCCTGCAGTGGAGATGACATGATTTTAATGTATATTCTAATATTATAAAATACTTGATCGATTTTAAAAATTCTTTCCTATCGTTGTAGCTTCATTATACGGAGTTGAGATAGGCTATAATGTACGCGTGCGAAGTCGCGGGACAACAACTAGTATTATATAAAAACGTTTGTCGCATATAGCTATTTGTTCTTAGTTTTCACTAACTTTACTTTACTTGAAGCACCACTCAACCCCAAAGGAATAAGATCGTGATTGTAGGTAGTACTTATGTAAATTATTACACCTTTGTGCTTTATACTATATGACTTTGAATTAACTTAAAGTTACCTATAATTGTAGCTGTTAATAACAGTTAAATATTCCAATTCAAAGTTTATTGGCCCTACCAAGATCTTTCCGAATCAAATTAGTTAGTCACATCGATATAAAACCCCTATTGTGACCCGCCAGATCTTAGCAGAATTTGTTGCTCTTTCAACCTAGTAAATTCCAAAAAATAGAAATGTCCCGGGCGTCAATGCCACTAATTTTTACATAATAAACGTATCTCAATGTTGTCTCAACTACTTGATATTTTGCCATTGTACTCGTACCATCTATGTGACGTCCAATATTATTAGAGAAATGTCTTTCTCATAGATCAATGGTGACAGATATATTTAGTGATTTAGTAACAAGAACTGTTTCATAATGAGTTGCAGTTACGCTAAGATTAGCAGAGAACTCTACTGGTTTCTGAGCTCTCAGTTTTGCACAAATAAATAACGTGAAAATAAGCTGTAATTAAAAAATAAAACAGCTTAATTTATGAATATTCTGTGTTGTGAATTCCCTTAAATTCGCATTATGAGGATTTCTTCTCCCTAATAGTATACAACAGATTCTCGTATAGGTTATAGGGATTGTAATATTTGTCACTATATGCTACACTTTTACATATAACCATGATTTATAATAGAATAATACACACAATGACCTATACTGTACTGCAGTCTTAAAGCTAAAATTATTTGAGTGGGTGTGACAGACCCTAGCCAAATAAAACGCCTTTTATATCGCTTCAGAGAGATCATAGCAGGGACACTGATAAACTTTAATAAGTATATGTACAAGTGGGATGTACAAGTGACAGACTCTAGCCAAATAAAACGCCTTTTATGTCGCATCAGAGAGATCATAGTAGGGGCACTGATAAACTTTAATAAGTATGTGTACAAGTGGGATTCGTTGCTGTAAATTACAACTTTGAGTTTCGAACGATGAATTAAATCTACCTACTGAAACTTCCTTGGAACTATTTCAGCTATTCATTATGAATCAAGTTTCCCGATTTCATACATAAATTCAAATCGAAGTTACTTTACATGAAGATACTATTTCGCGTACGTGCTTTTTCTATAACAATATTAGGTAAGTAACTGGTATTACGATACGATAAAAATATATAAATAGTTTCGTATAGTATACTAGCCATCCTGTATTATTCTGGAGTGTCCTGTATTACACATACCTGTAACACCCTCTTAAATCGCTCGGTACATTAATCAACACCGCATTAAAATTCGATTTTAAAAGATCTTGGCATACAGACAGCGGGAAGCGTCTTCGTTTTATACTATATTTAGATTAGATTATATTAAGTGACGGAAAATACACTGTGGAAACGTCGTTTATTTCTATCTCATACAAAAGGTAATCTGACTAAAGATAGGTACGAAATATGTTTTCTGTCATTGTAATCGAATAACAACTTAACGAATCATATATAGACATTTATGTAGTTAAATCGAAGTTTACATTCTAAATTTTGACTAGATAGATACCTTATATAAAATAAACCAACTGAATAAGATCTGAAATGAACTCGGAGCTTTATAATTCAATTTGCTAATGCCAATCCAAGAAGAAGATAGTAAAAATGTTTGCCGCAAGATCATTACTTTAAAATCATATTGGCGTATCCCCGAGTAAGATACCTTTATTATTTTAGATGGGTGTTTCCAATTTATTTACTAAATAATGTTAAATTATTTTTAAATGAAAGAAGTCTGTCCGTCCGTGAAACTATGCGTACTAGAAAGTTGTCATTTTTCATGAATATACACGTTAATTACACCGACAAAGTGATAGATTAATAAAATTGTAGGTACCCTAAAAAATAGTTTTTCAAACAAATTTTAGGGTACCACCCCTACATGTAAAGTGGGGATGATATTTTTTTCGTCTTCCTCCATAATGTGGGGCATCCATATCCATATCTCCATAAGTTGGACAGATCTTTCATAAAATTGTGGGACTGTGGGAAGACCGTTTTACGATTAAGTAAATCGTTTGTGACTTATTAAGTTTAAAGAGCTAATTTTCGCTAGATTCGGGTTCCAATCCCTCTACCAACTAAACTGTCGTTGATTCAAATTCAAACGTTACGGCAGTAGTATATATCGAAGTAAAAAGGAAAACTATCACAGTTAAGTTGGCTTTAGAAGTTTACGAGTAATATTCGAACAAATGTTTTTAACTTAAAAATTTGGAACGACTCTATGGAAAGCAAGAAACGTGTTTTTTTTACCCAAGTGAAAAGGAAGGATTATGTTTTTAGTACGTAACTTGTATGTATGTAATAGATATTCTTTATTACCTCATATCTTCAGGACCGCTGAATTTAGATAATTGAGGTTTCGTTAGATTTTTCTTATTATAGTAGCCCAAGCGTTTTTAGATTTTTAGCCGGCTGTGCGACGCCATTATTTAATGATAAAAGAATTGTTTCAAATACTACAATATGGGCATCAAATTAAAGGGTTCAATATATGAAGTCCAAAAGGTATATCATGATTTATCATTACTGTAATACTAATAAAAATAAATATGTTTTAAAATATGGACTTTGTTCTTTTACTTTCTGAACCAACATGGTAATTTTGTCTAACTAAAATTATAATTAAAATAAAACAAAAACACACCTGCGTTTTATATAATAGGTAACACTAAAAATACTTTTCTGAAAACCGCGTCAAAACCGTTTTAACGTGCCAACCTCCATTTTTAGGTCTGTAAACCTTCTCCTAACTCTGAAAACTACTATGCTCAAAACCGCATCAAAATCGGTTCAGCCAACACGAGATAATCGCGCATAAACATAATATACATGCATACAAGTCAAACTGAGAACTTCCTTTTTTTGATGTCGGTTAATAAAAAGAGGAAGATATGAAGAATAGTAAAAGATACAGGGAAGAAGTCGAAGGTGATTGGAATTTGGTGTCCCGGATGGAGAAACAACTGAAGAAAGAAACTATTAAAATATATAAGTTGTAATATTATTATATGCCAGGACTTCGTGGGGTGGATTCATTACGTATACTGATCAACTTTTACTATATGAACCTATGTAGTCCTCGTGTCACAATTTTAATTACCATACTATAGCTAGAATGGCTTGATCCTTTTTGCAGAAATTTTATATATCCATTTCCCAACCTAAAATAGGACAAAAAGCGTTTGCCGCTAAGCTAGTTTTTTAAAACTCTTGCGTAAAATGCCCTTGACTGCACAGAACACAAAGCAATGTCCTATTCTCCATGATCTGAACATAACTTGATGACCCATTGGATTACGGCCTTTGCGTCAGTTCTAGGAGCCGAAGGTTTATTATCAATTTTGTTATGCTGATATTTTGAAACTTATTATTATCAGTATTTTAAAATAAGACTTTAAAAATAACGGTATCAAACAGCTTCACTTGACACAAAGGAAAGGAATTTCAATTAGTCGGCCATAACTTCTGTCTAATATGAAATTCTATGAGGATTTACACAAAGCCCTAGATACCTCGAATAATGGACAGCAGACCCTTTTAATTATGCATAATTTGAAATGTATTCGTTGTAATGACATTTAAGGGCTTCTTTGAGGTAATACGGTAACATTATTTGATTTAAATAGACCTTTGGCTTGTACAATTTATTAGATTAATTAAATACAGTTGTTTTTCCGCGATTTCGCCCATGGAACTATAGCGTAAGTCCGCGTATGATTAGCGCGTTTTCTGTAGGTTACTAAATGATAACTACCCGACATCAATAGCAGTTTTTTTAATAATAGAACTTTATTTTCGCTTTCGTTAGTTTATTGGCCTATTTTATTGAAAAGTGGAATTCTTTATTTTTATAAATAATCAGGTTTAGTGAGGAAGACTGGCTCAGCTCTAATGTGCTTAAAACAGAAAGAGCTTTATATCTGTCCTCAAACTCAGGGGTTGCCAACTTTTTTGGTCTCGGAACTCTCACGACGATATAATATAAAAACACCTTGTAGTTTGAATATTGAATACAATAAGCATAATCAAAAAATACTGTCTAAAAATGTCTTAAATAGGTATTTCCCTAAATAAAAAAGTTATGGGACTTTGAAGTTGTGCTAGCTAGAATAATTTCGCTTCACGCGGTACCTTAGAGTTTGGACGTCATGTTACCGAACATGTCCGCGAGGACGTGGTTCGGTTGTATGTATTTAAGTTTGTTTTTGAGTGGATAAACTACTGAATGCTCATTTACATTGTTCGATAAAGTCCGCATGCGGTGTGCGGCAATTTCTGTGCATATTTTCATTAGTCGGCCGTTGACTAATGAAAATAATGCCTTAAATATGCCGTTATAAAAGTCAACAGTTAATACAATACAAAAACCGAACCATTTACCTATTGAACCATTGCTTCCGAAGAGGTAAAAAGTGAGAGCAGCTCCCTTCATCCCATAAATTTTAAAATTAAAGATTGGAATACCTACGTTAAAATATGTTACAGGGCCAATGAACATTTTCAATGAAACCTTGTTTGAACGGGGTATAGCCACATACTGAGATATATAGTGTATATAAAATATAGCACATTTACAAAAGCCGCAAATATTATTTTGTCGTTGTGGTTATTCTTTTTGACAATTCGAGTACTGATCAAATAGTCATGTACTAATGCATTGCCAATTCGATTTATCTTAGTAATCGATTTTATTTATGAACAAGTTTTAATTGATATTTTATTTAAGTTTGCATAACATTACGTATTTTTTTTTAATATAGTATTTTTTTTAGAAAACAACACGTAATGTTAAAGTCGCTTTAAATAACGCCTTTGCGCATTAATATGCTTTCATCTATAGGTACATGGAATAAAACAAGTTAATTATTTTAATATTATTTTATTACATTAAATCGTCTGATTCTTCTTCATATGAACTAGAATCGTCACTGGAATCATCACTGACATTAATCATGAATCGTTTAGTACAAAATTATCGGATGCAACATCACAATCCCAATCCGAAAATATTTCTCTTTTAGGTTTTTTAACGACGCTTGCCTAGCTTTCAGGCGTCACATTAGCATACGCATGTTTTAATCTCGTTCATAACTATCTTCCAAATGTCAAATTTAAATTTATTGTTATAGGTATTAAAATTAGAAAATTAGGTCACCGGAATAGAACCCAGGTCTCAGAGACACCTTGAAATCGACAGACGAGACACTCGGTCACTGGGCTTATTCTCACACAGTCATTTAGCTTTAAAAACCCTCTCATCGTGCCTCGCTAAGTTCTGTACAGTGACAATAATATTTGTTCAAGCCAGCTTTTCGAAGTCTCTTTATCTAACTAAATCGCAGACCGAACTCCTTACCTAAATATCACGACCCCTTTCCGGTTCTACAATCGCATCATGAATAATAAATGGAGGATCAAATGAAACACATCATCTGTTATTGCACGTTAATAAATATTTAATTATATAGGGGTGTAGATAGTGAACGAAAATAAATACATTTTTTTCTGGTAATGTTTAATACACTATTTCCGATTATCACACTTTTACGCTTATTATACTTATAATATTGCTTAAATTAATTATGAAATAACAAATATTTTATACTCGTCACGTGATCGCAAACAGCGCGTGACGTCACGCCCCTATTACTCATATGTGAGCGCTTACAGTGCTATTAATAAACAAGTTTTAGCGTCAGAGTAAATTTACGCTAAAATTACAGTTTTAGTATTCGTTCAAATTCATATTATACAGAGAATAAGCAAACCTACCTTCTAGGTATAAATATTACTCCCGTAGAACCTCGCACTAGGTTAACCTTTGCTAAGTCTCTGTTTAATAATATGAATTTTGACTAATACTAAGTGCAGTGTAAGTAATACTAAGTGCAGTGCAGCAAATTTACGCAGTGCAGTACAGTGCGTAAATTTACTCCAACGCTAACCCTTGTTTATTAATAACACTGTTTGTATGTAAGTTTTGTTGACGTTTACGTTCACTGTCGATCGTGAGCGCGTTGAGATTTTAGTATGGAATCCGGTACAGCGCCCCTAGTGGTAACAACCAAGAACTTCATATCTCCATACAAATTCAGACCACACTGACTAGTGCACTTAGAGAATTAAAACTTAAGCACATATAGAACGATATTATGTAGGTTTAGAAGGGCGTGATGTCATAGCGACGCCATGAAAGAAGTTGTTTATATATTTCATTTATATCTGTAAAATTACAATATAAAAATAAGTTGTGTACACCCCTATTGTTTTAGATTTAACAATTAATTTTAACAAATTCGTCTAGAACAATTTGAACTAAGTATAAAATGTATCTGAGAAAGTATCTTAATTGACTTTCGCAAACAATCCAGAGGCCTAACAATAACAATCCCTTCCAATTTAATATTTGACAGATATTCACGCTACAGCTTTTTTGATATTAACGAAATTATACGATATCGCTAATTGGACTTGTCTATGGCATGCGGTACATAGCAAATAGTGTGGAGTCTCCTAGTACCGTCCCTCTCTTTATATCGGCCTTTTCGAGAAAATGGAACATAACTATAAAAATAGTCCGAAAATTATAATTGTTTTTACGCTAAAAGCAGCTCCTTATTCTTATAAATAACCCCATATTTTGGTACGGACGCCTCAATATTTGCACGTTCAATTGGTAATAGAGACGAGCAGGTGCAAACGTGCGTCTTTTGATGGCATTGCCGAGTCAAATCCCTGAGACGACGTATTGCGTTGAGATGTATTTGTATTGAATTGAAAATATCTGAACTATTATATTTGTTCTTGAAGGAAAAAAATCAAAGTACCATTTAGAATCTAAACGTCATCTAAGCTTTAGATACTATATTTTTTCATTTATTTGTCCTTTTTATTATATAATTGTGGAGCCGAGATTAGGGATATGTATGTATGAAATGCATTAAAACGTATAATAAGATTTTAAACTATCTTAGCAGTAACATAAATAAGGTTAAAATGAAAGAACAGCTCAATCTGATTACTAAATCTTAAGGTATATAATAATATAAAAATAATAAGGATCAAAGGTCAAAAAAGCTGACATGGTCGATAATTGGTGCCTCCGCCCTATTACTTTTAAAGCGATTGCGACTTTAAACGTTACATGATTCCAAAAATCGCTATCACAATCGCTACACCTTTGAGAGGGATTGGATGGATTTTAAAACTAGACAATTAGGCCCCAAGAATTCAAATTCCATTTCAGACACTTGAGACTCAATTTTTTAAGTAATTTTCTTTTTGATAAATAAGACAAATGCGTAAATATAAGACAACATGACATAAATTGCTCAGTTACTAAGATGAGCTAAAGCCCTCGTATTATGCAATATTTGAAATAACGAAGTACCACAACACCCAGACTCGAGACAATGTAGGAAAATTAACAGCATTGGGAGTGCAACATTGATACAATATTTTCATTTTAATCGCAAGTTTAAAATATTTGTAAAAATATTTATTTCAGCTGTTTGGATGAATTGCCTCAACATTTACTCTGGCGCCAAACCTTGTTAATTAATAGCGCTGATAATGAATAAGTTTTACTTTCTACATATATTATGCAAATATTTTATACTCTTTATGACTGTGTGGTAAGTATTTACATCAAACATCAATTTTCAACCTTATTTGTAATCATTTATATATGTAAAATAAAAATATAAAAAGAAGTTGTGTACACCCCTATTATTTTAGATTTAACAATTAACATTAACAAATTCGTCTAGAACAAATTGAACTAAATATAAAATATACCTACCTATATTATGTTACAATTACATTCAAATTTGATTGCAATAAATAGTTTATATTATACTATTTTGTGTGTTGCTGTACATGTTAACTTCAACTCGATCGCAATCTATCCCGAAGCCGTAAAAATCTTTTGTACATCATCAGCTTGTTCTTTGGATATGAAACTTTGACTGTATTTTCCTAAAAAATGCATAAATAATTACTAAGCACATACGTTACTTCAAACATAGCCATGGCTCATTACATTAATTTGGTACTTTGCGACACCACAATACTGCCACACGATTTAAAAACATTCTTTCAACCAACCAATTTTGAAATGCCAATTCTATCTTTCTACATGTATTTACTAAAAACAAGACGTAAAACGATTTTAATACGTTAATTAAGAAATAATTTTATATAAACAATAGTTTGGCACATAGCAAAAAACAACGTCAAATACAGCACTATCACAACTCTAGAGGTTCAATCAAATAAAACTTAATTAAAAAGACAATTAAGGTTTTATTTGATTGTACCTCTAACGCTATGACATCAACAAAATTCGAAATTTAACTTGTTGTGCTTTCATTACCAACATATAAAAAGCAGAGTTTATAAAATACTAAAATATGAAGTAAACTGAGCGAAACACTGGATTATGGCAAAATCCACAAGTGCAACGCCATTAATTAATAATAAGAAGAACGCTAAGAGGGCGATGTGACATTTGCTTTCTATGCGTTATACAAAACTATAAAATTTCGCCAATCAATCTAAACCTTACTACATTATAAGCAGAGTTTAGATTATCGCAAAAATTTGACATTTTATAGTAATGTGTACTATGCAGTTTATAATGACACCATGGGACGACGTCGTTGAGAAAGTAACTAAATCATTTACAAATATATGACAGATCATCCCATCTTTCATTAATAAGCCATTAATAAAAGAAGAAGAAATATATGACTAATTGAAGAATCTAATGTGCCATTTGAAAAAAAACCACATCAATCGAGATCAAAGCATAACGATTTAGTATTAAATTACCCACACATATATAATGATATTTACTTCTGTCAATATAATTATTCAAATACACAATACCATTAATTTTACATAATTCATAGCCATCATTACAATTGACTATAAAAAAGTCTTGATATTGGCAAGGACCTTGTTGGCAAGTTAAAGGAGAATACTTACATGGGGAAAGAAATTGATAACCACCAGATAGATCTCAAAAAATGTTGATGCTACTACCAAGGGACCCGATTTTGTTTCACAAACATCAAGTTGCACAGTGAATTTCCCCTCTGGCAGCTTCGCCAATGTCTCAAATATTGGTTTTGTTGCCCTTTTTTGACTAGATAGACGATACAGCAAAATTTCACCTTCTTTTGTTCCTATCAAAACAATATCCGCATAGAAGAACAATGCGGTTATTGGAGGAAAATCTAAATATAGGTGTTGGTATTTATCAGTTTCTATTTTGAACAAATTGCGTGAGTAACAAACAAAGTTTCTATCGTTGATTGGACATATATATTTTATTTGTTTAATCCATTCTACAGGGCAGTTGATCGACTTTACCTCAACACTACCATCTCTTTTTATGTTCACAATTTTTCCACAATCCGTAAATATATTTAATATTTTGTTATCAAGCTGTATGGTTTTAATATCATATTCTGAAGCTATCATAAGCTTAGGTGATAGATTTTGTTCTGCCAAATCGCATTTAAAGACCTGCCTGTTGTTGTAGAAGTATAAAATATCACTTGTTAATATAAAATCATCAGCTTTGAAAAATGCTTCACTCATAAATGCTCTATTTTCTACAGTTCTCTGAATAAGTAGGCCCGTTTTAAGTAAAAGTACAGTAACATAGTTATTATTTGCAATTTTTAAGCAGTTCTTTTCTGGCACAGCTACAGGAATATATTTAAGAGTTTGTATGTCATACAAGACAATGCCTCTTTGGTCTTTCAAAGGTAAAATACTATAATCTATCTCTAAAGCATGACTTTTGTCATGCAAAGAAAACTTGTAAAACTCACGTATATCTCTATCGTAAGAAGTAACATTCTCCCATAGTTTAAGGTTTCTGTAAATGTGATACCAGCTGCATTCGTTACCAGACTTTTTCTTTGCTATTTTCGATGAGTATCTGAACTCGTTTCGGCAAATTTCGTACCACAACAAATCAGTGCTATCGATAAACTCTTTCCAACTTTTACAAACTCTACGACATCTACCCACTGTAATACCATCAGTTTTCTTTAGTATCTCTACAAATGTTTCCAATGGTAAACATTCTATTCCAATCATTTTCAATTTTTATGCGAAAACACTTTTTACACTGAAATACTCTTTTTTATGCGCTGAATTCCTCTTAGTTGTACGACATAGTCTCTGTCCCACAAAATGTTTATGAGAATCACCATCACCCGTTAATTTATTTTTAAAAATAATGTAAAAAAACTATGTACCTACTTTTAAATAAATTGTTTACATTTTTATCAGTGATAAAATCCCGTGACTTTGACTTGACAGTTTGGTTTGGTTCGTTTTGTTGGTAGAATTGTCATGAAATTCTTAAGGCGAACCCACATTTTTATATCGTGTTAAGTTGCATCTTGTTTCATACACTATATAATAACAGATATATTTATGTCCCAACATTAAAATCAATTATATATAAAACATACAAATGTGTCAACCATTGCTTATATTGAACTTGAGCAATAAAAAGTGCACATTATTCGTTGTCTTTCTTTACGTGGTAGCGAGGCGTTGTTGTGACAATTTTGCGTGGAGATAGAGGTCGGAACTATACACCCCTTCCAGCAACTGTAACAGCTCTATGTATAATTTTGATGAGCATGAAGTTGACATCGCGGCAAATTATAACAAATAGCAAAGACAGATTTAAAGTCATAATTTGCCGATAAGGGACAACTTTGACAACACACAATATTGCAACATTTTCTTTGTCATTGTATTATTTCTTTGTCATTTGTTTTATTTTTATGTTTTCATTTCTATGCTTACTTGTGCTGTGTAGTGTATATCGTATGTGTTAACAATATAATCTTCCATTTCTTGAAATATAATGTTTGCCTGTTTATTTTATCACATTTCAATTGTTTATAGGGAGCTCTGAGCTATAAATATTTAAAGCAGTTTTAATTTGTGAAAAACGGCGTACAGTACGCGTGAGTCGTAAACAAGATTGTTCCCTGAACTTCAGGCAGGAATGCGAACCGGTCACCTCTTTGACTCCACCTGTGACTTGCTCATGCTCCGTGGAAAAGGAACGATCTTCGTCGCGAGTTACTGTCACGAAGATCGGATAACTCAACTCAGAGTTAACGGTTCTATAACGATTTACGGTTATAGAAAGTATTTTTCTGAAATTTTTTCGAGTGTTCGACCTTTCTGTACCGAAAGACAGTTTTCTGAAATTTCTTCGAGTGTACGACTCGTGAATAACGTTATTGACTAAACAAATAACTGTTTTGCCACTACTGGCGGACCCAGTATATGGTTCCGCACAGCTTCGGTGTCGCGGGGAAGCGGGCCACAAAGTGGGGGCGTTGGACCCGTCCAACAGTGACTCGTCACCAGCGCATTTGTATAGAACCGCGTGAACACCCGCTTAATACATTTAAGGCCCCAATAAGTAATAAAAACACAATAACGCTTCGGACTATTTACGACTTCAGGTTGTATGGCCTCAATCTCTTTGCCTTAAATAATTAAATATCATTAATTTCGGCGCGAATTCGTAATATACTTTTACTCTTTGCTAATGCCGTTAATACATCGACGCAATTGCTTGCGAATGCGAAATATCTGCGAAACTTTAAATACACGTGATTTGGTTGAAGGAGGGAGGGGGTAGTCTTAACCTCAACATGTATCGTCAAGGGGGGCAGCCATCCACCACGTGGACCCAGTGAGCATTGGTAGACATTAACGACTGCAGATGCACCGAGGTTCAACAGCTTAACGTTCCTCCCAAGGAACGGAGGAGTTCGAAATAATAATTTTCTGGCCACCCATCCTGTGACCGGCCATTACGATAGTTGCTTAACAACCGTATCGCAGACCGAACGAACCAATGCGCTATCGAGCCCAATCAACGTATGTAAGTATTTATTTCTCGATACACATTTCAGGAGACTCACCAAACCGTTCCTTTCAAGCGTATAGCATTAAAAAAGGACTCAATAATAGTACGAAAAGCATTTTACCTATTAGGTGTATTATATAATACGATCATCTCCGGCAGATTTCGTGAAATTCGTCGTATATGTTTAAAATAAAACTATCACGCTACCCAACAGATGCAATAATTTAATTCATCATAATTATATACCAATTTTGATTCACAATATTTTCATTCATCTAGCAAACCGGCAATCATTTCACTTAAATGCAATATTATTTGAAAATTCTCAATGAAAATATAAACCTTTGTATAACTCTAACTCTGGGACCTTACAAACGGTTCAGAAAGGCCTTCTCTCACGGGGCTACTTAAAAATGACCTAAATAATCAGTTTACAATTAAAAAATTAGAAGTATCTACGAACCATTCAAAAATCATATTGGTACCTTCTCGTTATTTAAACTACTACTACTCGTAGGAAATAACATGACACCTGCAAGCCTATTTCTCCGAAAACCAAATTTACTTCATTTTCGGACTCCAAACAAATGCATTTTTCGATAATTTATCATGCAACGGCGGTAAGACCTGACACTGCCTCAGATTTACAAATATTATTTTAACAAAATTATAACGTTTCGAAATTTACGTTCCGAATATTCGTTCAAGAACAAACAGAATAGGTCCTCAGGTATCATGATAATTCAGCAGGCTAACTTGAACACAACCTCAATGTCAATTTCAATGCAATCCAATGACAATCTCAATTTTCATCAAATCTTAGCTCGTACTCTTGAAACATATACTCAAAACTTACTCAATGTCAATTAGTTCATTCAATAAATACATTGAGCCAATTTGCGCTAGAGTATTAAATCAAGAATACGAAACGACACAAATGCAATGTCGATAGATCGCGATTGCGTTCAAGAGTAAGCATGCAGTTCTTAATAGCTCCATGAGAGAAGGGCCCAATTGAAAATGGTATTGTGCTTTACACACATACAGCGGTCACTCGCTTCAACAAAATAAGCATAAGAACCCTAGCCCAATTCTACCAACATAACAACCCCAGTGTCCAACCAGTGGTTAAATAACGTCCAAAGTTATAATTGCGCCCTGGTATAAATGGAAATTTGATTAAAAAGAGCAGCAGTAATCTACAACAGTCTATTATAAATTATGAGAACTTGATTTCATTTTAATTTCTAATTACAGTTAATCGAAAGTGTAATAATAGGAACCCAATAAAATCGTCTATGCCCATTTATCTACTGCTTCACTACCTACCTACTAAAGCATTTCGTACTATCTACACTTATTTTATTTACAATATTTATACACAGAAATAAGAAAACATTTTCAATAGGAAAATTACACATTGATTTATATGTACACTACTAGAATTAATGGCACTATGAAATTGGCTCTTAGTAAAAATAGTTTCAGGCATTGCATTATTTCAATTAATCACGTTGCATTGCAATTAAGCATTAATTTAATCGAATCTTAAAGTTGCTGCTGTATTATTTCACAGAGAACAAAATCAAAACATAATGGTAGTTAGATCAATATTTTTGTTTTCATCTAAACAATGACTTAACTATTGGTAATAAAGATCAATATGGCATGGTATTTCCTAAAAAATCTTCCTTACCTTTTGACAACTAATTTAATGCTGTTTAGGAAAACTATGCAGTTTGATCGACATTCATTATTGAATAAGATCTTTTTTGTCGGCGTTTCTATATGAATAAGATCTTTTTTGTCGGCGTTTCTATGACCCATACTTTTTGGTCCATAGTCGTGTATTTATTACATATCTAAACTGTAATAAATACACCAAGAATGGTGGTCAATTGAAGCCACTATCGTTTGCCACAAAAATAGTAAGTAAATTTGCATTACAGTAATTTACAACTGATGTGACTTATTGTACCTGGGATACGACCGCCTACTCTCTAGCCATAGGATACGACTTCTTAGCGATGTTATGGCGATATTTAATTTCATTTTAATACTTAGACATAACATTTGGTGGATAAACGAATCCATTATGATTTATTCTTTATAATTCGTTCATCATTTTAACCATAAAATGTCAAATTTCGCAGACAATTTTAAACTCTACCAGCAAATAATTGAGGTTTAATATCAAATGGAGAAATTTGACATTGAACTGGTAATGCATTGCCTTTTTTTAATGTCGTCGTCTTGCTCGTTAAGGAAAAAATGGCAAGCGATTCAAAAGTACTTGAAAAGAATTATTTGAATAAACATATTATAACTCTGACTTTGCTATCAACTGTACATGTCAAAGTAGTAAAATGTAACGAAATATCGCACATAACATCGTCAAGATGACATGACTAGAATAGGAATGATAGGTAAAAAAAAGGAATTCTAGTTAGTCCGTTAGTCAGATAATAGAAAAATATTAGATATATATTTTTTTAACTTCAATTTAACAAGAAACAGACATTGAAGTTGAGAATTGGGAGCTCGCTACGTCACAATATTGTAGAAAATGTATAAAAGTGTGATGTCATGTAATATTTCTAGTCAATGTGATAGTTTTCGAAAATAAACCCGAGGAACAGACGAAAAAAATCCCTCATCATCCCTATGATTAAAATATCACACCATCGGGCGCTCCACCAATAACCAAGCACCTGACACTCCGCCAAGTATGAATGAGACCGACATCTAATGTATTGCGTTTTACATCTTATGCTTATCGAAACAAGACTCATTTTAATTTGAGTCGTACATTTGTTTACCGCCGGTATTAGTATATCTGCTTTTCACCGTCGTATTAAACGTTCTAAATAATATTTATTTATTTATGGCGGTAAATCATTATTTAATTTACCTTTTTATACACACCGTCTCACACAAATTAATAAAGTCTCATATCAAAACTTAAAATATAAACTCATAATAAATTAAAAACGTCAAAGGAACAATTCTTAAATACAAACGCTCTAAAATCGGGAATGATAAAAACACTCGGGGAAATAATCACTACAAAGTATAAAACAAAGTCGCTTTCTCTGTTCCTTTATCCCTATATTTAAACTACGCAACGGATTTTGATGCGGTTCCATTTCATAGATAGGGTGTTTCAAGAGGAAGATTTTATGTATAATACAAGACCGCGCGGGCGAAGCATATAAAATAGGCAACATTACACGCATGTTTAATTTAATAACGCTCTTATGACTACTCTATAAGACGAAATTTAATTATTATCATAATTTATTTTCATAATTCACTTCCAAAGTAATTTCAGATAATCACTGTTGTGTTGTCTTTGTAATATCATAATTTATTAATATTAAAGTTGAGATTACTAATTTCTGTGATGAAATTGTAATATTATTCTAATGTATTTTCTTGGCCTTAATGTAGTAGCAACGTTACATCATTCAACAAACCTACTAAAAGGTGGGACAGACGGCACTTAAAATTCACTATTTTTGTAAGCTTTGATGAAAACAAAAAGGAAAATACAGTACGTAAGTATAAATCAACTAAACTATCCTTATATAAGCAAATTTTAAATCGCAACGCGTGAAATTTACTAAAACAAAAGATCCCTTCACTTAGTTTAGTTCCAATTCGACGTATACCCAATTTCAGTGTGAAACCAACAAAAACTTACTCTAAATATTGTTTCCAACAAACTACTCCCAAAGACTACGGTTTTATAATAACACTAGCTGTTTTCCCGCGACTTAATAGCCTATGTCTAGCTTTCAGTAGAACAAACAATTTTTCAAATAAATTCAATGCAAACAAACAATCTAAATCTTTCTTGTTATCATGATTAGTATGTATTATCATTGAGTTTTAAGAAAAATTGGCAGTTTCACTTTACTTCATTTCTACTTAAATGAGCAAATTGAAATATGTATCAGTCAGAAAACTTGGAAGGAAATGTGTTCTGATTCAAAGTCTAATTCGACCAACTATCGCATTTTGGGTGGCTAGACAAAGCCACAAGAATTAATATTAAAAATTTGTGTCAGCAAGCTAATAAGTATCCAAAATGCAGATATATTACAATAACATACATTAACTGTCCTTACAAATGCGAGAATTAAGATTAAGCTTTAATAAAGCGAGCTAATAAGTTTGATTTCAGATTTATAAGTTACAGTTGTTTGTGATGAAAATTACTGAAGTGATATTCGTTTTAATAAGTCTTTAATATACTTTTCTCGAAAGCATACAAAGGCAATTTAGCTTTTTTTACAATATGTTTAAAACAACTTCATAGAGATTGTCTTTCCTTTTTGTTTTCATTTAAATTATCAAATAGGAACACATCAACAACCTTTTTCACCATCTATAAGTAGAATGTACTTTAATAGGCGAAACTATACTAACTGTTCGTTTGAAGTTGACCGTTCCCGCCTATTTTTCACCGCAAATACAGACAGACGGTACCGTTAGCAAAACCATCGCGTTATTCGAAAAACAAAGGAAGAAATTTCTGTTATGTGTTTAAAACATTTGCTACAGGCCCGCTCTAGCTTAATTAAACACTGCGCGTATCACTTTTATTTTGCTATATAATCTTTACGTCATATCAACTTCCAACTCTTAAACGGTCTTTAACGCATGGAGTCAAGCTGAGTTATTGTATTTACCGACGGTACCAGATGCCTATGACGTCATCTAGTAACGATTGTCTGCGACCAACTCGAAACGAACGGCTAATATGCAAAGTACTAGATAACTTCGTGCGAATTAACTTCGTACTTGATATTGACTGCTTGTAGATAATGAAGTAGGCATTTAAAATATTTGATTTACGCTTAATTGATTATTTATAACATCTAATTAAGTTTTGCTCGACTTCCTAAGCGACCATTTCTTAACTAGGAAGTTATGGATGCAAAAAGTCGTATTCATTTAATTTTTTGTTCAGGAAACTAAAACTATTTAAAAACAATATCCTAATCATACAAAATTACTATTAAATTATCAAATAACCAAGTAACAATTGAAATAAACATTTCTCGAAAACGTCAACAAATAGTAACAGCAAAATGCATCAAATAATTATAATAAATAAATTAACAATTATTAAAAAAAAAACTTCTAACAATTTTAATAGTTTTTGTCACTAAAGCCTTGGGAATTCGAGTCTTAAGACTTAAATACACCGTTAACGCAATGAATTACAACAAGACTCAATGAACAATGAAATAATAGATATAATGCGTCTTTGGAATTTAATATTTTAATATTTATTTATCTACCGATGAGTAATCTTTGTATGAAATAATTATATCACCGATATAAAAAAATATATATTTTAGGTATATCAATAAATATTATGAAGCTTGGTTATGTTTTACTAATTTTATTCTCGTTTCGACGTCTACAAAGATGATAAAGTTTTATATATATAATTTCTTTTGTTTAAAGGCTCGCAGATTTCAGACTGGAAGCGCATTTGAGTCTCGCATTAATCAAGTTGAATCCCACAATAAGATTAAATGTCTTTTACATCCCAAGTTCCCGTAAAATGCAGTCAACTGATTTTATTCACAAATCATTCCACACAATTACTGTTCTATGGAAAAATTACTCCTACAACTAGTACAATACGATTCATATCAGCTTGCTTATCAACTATTCTTGAGCATATTTGAAACGACTAGCATTGTGAAACTTCCTATTAGGTACAGAGTGGCTGGAATCGAAGCAAGGAGCTTGTATCGTTCCTCTGAAAAAAAAAAGAAAAATATATATATTTTAACTTTATAACTGAAAGAAAAAAATTCTAGGATTATAAATTTTTAAATAAATAGCTTGATTATTATTCTAGTCCAACCATGCACTACAATATTTATAAAAAAAATAACTTATCTGTGATCAAATGTGGAGTCGTTGTTATTCGAAATTCAAACCCCTTATGAATGAAAAATTATGATTAATATTAAATGATCAGTAAAAAAGCCAATATTTACTATTGCAATCTTGATCATTTACCGACCGTAGACAATACATTTAATCCCAAAGAGGTTAGTTAGCAAAAAGGTCATGCAAGGAATTAAAAGAAATAAAGACCCAAAATGAAAGAATAAAATAATACTTTTATTTTAAAGACTCGTAAATAAATTAACTTATTTATATTTAAAATATAGACAATACATTTGAAATTCATACGTTTAGTATTGAATATAAAATAACATATGTTTAAGTACATATTTCTATCAATTATCAAATTTTCTAATGTTTATAATGCTTTGCTATTTATTAGCCATATTGGCACAATATGTCTTTTAAGAAATGAAAAATACATCTACTAACGTCTATCCTAAGTCTATAATATCTTCAATGATAAATTCTACAGTAAAACAGACTTTAAAATGTATTCGATTACATAATACTCATTCGATTAATAAATTACAATCGATTCGTTAGAGCAGTCATGATATTTATCTTATTTAGAAATTCCTGAACATTTGATTATTGTTAAAGTAGAGAATGATTATATTTTTTATTTGTTGTTGTGTTGAGAAATCATAGGCAAAGCCAATTTCAAGGTATTTTTTTTTTCTTTTTAGTTTCCGGTGTTTTTAGATTTTCATTTCGTATTTTTAGATTTTCATGTTTTGAAATAATTTTTATAAAATAAACATCGCGACATTCCATCATCCGGTAGAACAATAATATAATTACAAAAAAAAAGTAAAATACTACAATTTCATGTGATAATTATCAGTTACTGATTTACTAATCTAAAGATTAAATGACTAAATTATAATTCAATGACCTTTAAGTTAGTATCGATAAATAACAATTTTGTGGTTATCTTAGAATATATCCTATTTCATACTATATTTTCGAGTTTCTTAAAAAATTAATAATGCAATTATTTAATTGTTCTATGGGATGTGCGATATATATAAAATAACAAACCGATAAAACCATAGAGTAACAGTAAATAGGAATCACGTTAAATTAGTATGCGTTAATTTATTATATATAACTTTAAACACGTTCGACAATTCCTGTATAGAATCGTCATTAGACTCATGGACCGGTTCGACAATAATCGGATTGTCGTCAGAATCGAATATAATCTCTGGGTCGTTCTCGATTATTTCCTCAATCGATTTCCAGTTAGTTAGTACCTTTTTCTCTACATCGCAACACTGGCACATGCCGTAATCGCATTCCTTTTTAGCGTTAAAATAATCGGCATCATCTAATATGGTATGTTCCGGTTTTCTAGGTTTCGATGGAACGTATACTGAAAACTTCCTAGCGGAATATTTTAGAAGTTCTTCGTATGCGTTTACGCCGTCTTCTGAATACTCGAAAGATTGCATTCTATTATCAATAGATGGCGTTACGTGTTTATCAGTTTCCATGGAATATTCCAGCAAAGAATTGTCTTTACTACTCTCGCCGTTGGTATATTCGTAGAGAGATGTACCCCTACTAGAATTAGTGCTAGCTAAAGAGTTTTTCCTAGATTCTGTTTGGTTCTCGTCTAATACCGAATTTTTCCTACTGGTATTGTCGAAGCTTTGTATATTATGTACCATGCTACCCTTTCTTTTGGTCTGACCTGTCATTGCGATAGATTTTTTGGTAGTCGCCCATCCGAGGGAACGTTGCACGGCCATTTTCCATTTGGTATATCTCGCATCTCGATCTGTAAACAATGCAAAAATGTCAAACAAGTCGCCATTTTGTGCGTGTGTAAGATTTCCAAACAGTCGAAACTCAAGATGGATTTATTACTAATGAAAATCCTTAACTATTACACATTAGGCCACTATAAAAAGATTATAAGTCGATTGATTTTTATAGCAATAGTTATCGATTGACATCTATGTATTTAGGATCAAGTAAAAATTATCTCTCTTTAACAGACTTTTGACCACCTGTCCTGTTTGTTTGTTGGTGTGTGGTGTATTTCTCTCTTATAATACAATAATCTTCTACATCAGTGGGTAGGTGTGAGTATATGAGTGCATGTATATCAGAGTTTTGCTCACCATCGTCAGTTGCAATGGGCAAGTGTGAGTTTAGTGTTTTGCTCACCAACCTGAATGGCAATAACCCCATTTACGAGTGTAAAGTTTTGCTCACTTTCCTTAGTTGACGTGGGCATGCGTGAGTGAAGAGTTTTGCTCAACCTCAGTGGCAATGGCCAATTATGAGTGTAGAGTTTTGCTCACTATCCTTAGTTGCAGTGGGCAAGTGTGAGTGTAGAGTTTTGCTTAACTACAGTGGCAATGGCCATTTATGAGTATGAAATTTTGCTCACCATCCTCAATGGCAGTGGGCAAGTTAGTGTGCAGGTTTACTCATCGTCATCAGTGGCTGTGGGCAGGTATGAGTGTGAAGTTTTGCTCACCCTAGTTAGTGGCATTGTGCAAGTATAACAGTGGAGTTTTGCTCACTATCCTCAAATGCAATAGACAGGTGCGAGTATATGGGTATATTGTAATGCTTACCGTCATCAGGGATGGTCAATAAGTGTGAGTGTTATGTTAAGGTCACTACCATCAGTAGCACTGAACAAGATTAAATTTTAGAAAGGTTTATTATTTATGCTCAACAGAACAAATGTACGCACCCTATTTCTCGTGAAATTAAGTGCCACATACATTTGCAGATATCGCAAACAGGAGTGCGGAACACAAAAACATCTCCTGATCCACAAACGAAGCATACATCAGGGACGATGCATAATCAGTCCAGAACATATAAATGCTTCAAAAGCCAAGAATTAGATTTTTTAGAAGCTACCAGGCTGAAACTACTATAATTCTGGCGGCGAGTCCCAATAGATCTTTTGGGTCGCAGTGTTCCATATGGGACTGCATAGTCCTTTAATATTACGAATAATCTATATATTTTATAAAGCAAAGTCACTTCCCAAACGGATTATAAAGCTTATACGCATTTGGTGTAGGAAAGTTTATATGTATAATCCAAGACCACGCGAGAGAAGCCGCTGGCGGAAAGCTAGAAATAAATAATATGCTCACCGTCGTCAGTGGCAGTGGGCAGGAAAGTATCGGTAGCTGTGGCGTGACGTCGCCATTTCTCGCAGCTCCACACGCCCGTACTATCCCCCGCTATTACCGCTACGCCCAACGCAGACATATCCCACGATTGGGCACGCACTATAACACAATAGTTTCTTAAATAGTTACTTTTATCCCCCGACCACTGGCGAACTAAGGGGCCGTCCATAAATTACGTCACACAAAATTCATGATTTTCAACACCCCCCCCCCCCCCCCTCCTGTCACATGTTTGTCTATACAAATTCTACTAAATATTGTTCTAATGTCACAGTTCGTAATTTATGGATGGCCCCTAAGGGAGATTTATTTTTCTCCAAAAGTGTTATTTAAATAATGAAAAACATTTTCTTATTCATCAGTTGAAATTTTCCATCACGTAACATTCAATCGACAAAAACGTTTCGAAACGAAAGATGAATGAAATGAATGAAACATGATGTGCTTCATTATGACCGCCCGTGGTTCGTTCTTGTAATCCACAGATTACAAATCGCAAGTTAATTTTACAAAATAAAATACATTTTCAATTTATTAAAAAAATACTACATAGTTATTGTTAAGCTAATTGTAATACCTACTAAAATAAACTAAGAATCTGAGCAATATAGTGATGTTTTCTTATATACATTGTTATTATTATTAATATTTCACTTACACACTGGGATACCGATGAGATCGCTTTGGAGCTGCATCAGAAGATCGTTGGATGTCATCTTGCCGTCAACATGGAGTTTCGACAATGGCATTCCGCAGTCTTTGTTCATTGCTTCCAATATATCTCTAAAAAAACAACATAAAACTTGTATTCCAAATTGGTTATTTTTAAAATGAGTATCTTTTAAAAAATGCAATAGTTGAATATATGGTGTTAATTTAGGTCGGTGGCGTAGCGGATAAGCGCCGCGGCCCTAGGGTGTTGTTGTCAAGTATCTTTCGCAGGGGCGGTCACGGGATGGGTGAACAAAATTTTTTTTTAACTGCCCGGCCTTACAATTATTGGCCGAGCGGTCTACCTTATCCCCACTCAGTAGCAATTCATGATTTTTAACCCCCCCCCCCTCTCCTGTCACATGTTTGTCTATACAAATTCTACTAAATATTGTTCTAATGTCACAGTTCGTAATTTATGGATGGCCTCTAAGGGAGATTTATTTTTCTCCAAAAGTGTTATTTAAATAAAGAAAAACATTTTCTTATTCATCAGTTGAAATTTTCCATCACGTAACATTCAATCGACAAAAACGTTTCGAAACGAAAGATGAATGAAACATGATGTGCTTCATTATGACCGCCCGTGGTTCGTTCAAAAATAGCTTAATCAGGACCTGATTAAGCTATTTTTCTGCTTCCATGCCAGTTTTCGCATTTAGCCTATCTTTCATTCCGCATTCCTTTTCTTTCTATTATCCTTCTGACCAAAAACTATTATACTCCGTGCTACGCTACTCCGTGCTTCGGAAGACACGTTAAGCCGTTGGTCCCGGCTACATTTGCAGTCGTTCATACCCTCCAATCCGCATTGGGCCAGAACAGAATGGTCATAGCCAATCCTCCTTAACCACCCATAAGGAAGGCCTGAGCCCCTCCTCTGACTGAATTGAAGCCTGTATCTTCTGTTTCAGCTTTTGCCGCGAAATTAATCAACACTATTACAAGTATTTTTTTACTTATGGAATTAGTATAATCGATTAGCACCACGTGACACATAGCATTTCTCAACATATATAAAAAATATATATACCATAATTTGGAAAAAAAAATCTCACCTAGTTTGAAAACAGACAGCTTCCAAAGCAGCCCTTATGACGTGATTTTTTGTTGTGAAGGACGTCAAACCGCATATGATACTTTAAAAAAAGATACACTTCAATTAATTAATTCAACTTTATGACTTTAGTCATAAGACTCAACACGGCATAAGTAATTCAATACATAGATATGAAATACAATAAAGTAGAGCTCGATGGCTCATTTGGTGAATAAAATATAAGTGTCCCTAGTAAGAAGTGCAATAAAGCGATACCATAATCACACAAAATCCAGAATCGGAATAGAGAAACTTATTCCTAACTATAGACAGCGAAAACAAAGAGTATACAAAGAAACTTAAGCAAATGAAACTGATTTGTATAGTTTATATAAAAATCAATCTCATAACAATAAGGTTATATTCTCACCCTCTAGCGTCCTTCCGCCAATAAGGCGCATATAATCCGCTAAAAGCAGGTACAAAATACACATCGCCGGTGGAAAAAACCTGGCCAGCTATGTGTTCAGTGTCTTTTGTTATGTCTTTTATTAGTTTCAAGTTGTCCCGGAGGAATTTCATGGCGCCACCAGCTACGGCTATTGAACCTGTTTAATAAAACAACCATAGATATAAAAATAATAGACAATGTACATATTTTTACTTGACTCTGATTCCAAATAAAGCTTTCTCTCTAAATTTTAAAGGAATCAAAGGTTGTCTGGAAGAGTTAATAAAGTTGTGAATTGTCGCGGTATCCGAGGCTAATTATTTTTTAAACATTTTTTAACATGTTTGATCAGTATAGCACTGTGAATTAAAAATTGTCTCAAATATAATAATTAATAGAAAATAGATATAACTATTTTCAAAGTCGTCTCGTGTTAACTTGAAGCAGAAAAAAAATGCTTATCTAATATTTTCATATTATATAATTAAAGGACTAAATAAAAATTACCCATATAAATATTAATATTCAATAGGTCGAAAGTTCATGTCATGGATCGTTACAACGCTAAACTATTTGTAGGTATATCGAATAAAAATAGGCCGTTGACCTCCAGTTAGGGTAGGATAACAATAAGTATAACTTGTACGAAATAAAATGACACCCAATTGAAAAAAATTAGAAGACATCAGACACAGTGTCAGGTCTTACCTTTGTTGCATTATAAATTATCAAAGCTAGCGTTTTTTTGGAATTTCGACATTAGACAAAATTTTGTTTTCAAAAAAAATAATAGGCCATCAAGTGTCTGTATTCATACGTGTAGTATCTATAATTAATAGTAATTTGCCATGTGATCTTTCCCGTATAGCCTACAGAACAAAGCTTACCTTCCAATGCGTACACGGCGGGTGCATTTGGTCCCAGTTTGTACGCAACTGTAGTCAGCAGTCCATGAGTGGACTGTACACGTCTTGTTCCTGTGTTGTAAAGTAGGAAGCATCCGCTCCTATAAGTGTTCTTAGCCTGACCTGCAAGTAAGCAGTTCTGACCCACTAACGCGGACTGCTGGTTACCTAATATCTGCACAAAAATGAATCCTAAATCATTGATACTATAATTCATAATGAAAAAAACAATACACATTGTGATATTTTGTTTATCATCATAATCAGCCCTTTTACGTCTCCCTGTTCAGGCCTTGCTTGTGGATGGTTAAGGAGGATGGGCCATGACCCTCCATGCCGGCCCTATACGGACTGGAGGATATTAACGACTGCAAATGCAGCCTATTAATGTCCCTCTTCCTGACACACAGATTTTCCATTTGGATAGAATCGAATCGAACAGGGAGAATAGAGATTAGAGGTGAAATATAAACACAAAAGTAATAAATCACTAATTGTTTGGATGTTACGAGCTTCTGACAATTTAAAAAGAAAAATCTATATATATATATATATATTTCATACGTCATGTGATTGCAACACTGGCAATTGTTATTAACATTTTATTCACAGAGTAGTGTGCGGAGAGTAAATTATTATCAGTTTTTTGTAAATCATAGTTGAATTTCATATTTCTTGCATTTATATTAGAAAGAGTGTATTTTTTTTCCACAATAAATTATTATTCCTGCACATTTGGATGCAAGAAAGAATCATTCATTTTCAATAGACGAAATGTTTGAAAAAGTTTGTTTGTTTACTAGATCTGCTAGTACTGCCATCTTTTCCGAGCTTTGTTTAGTATTCCCTATTCTAGAAAAAAAAATCACTCACTCCAGATATTCGGATGCCGTCCAAAATTGATCCATTGTTCACAACACCATACACTTCGGAACTACTCCGGATTTGTGCAAGACAATCACGGTGTATTCCAAATAACCTGTCAAATAAAATTCAAGATATATCTTCAAACTTCCAAATCTATTGTTACAGGGAAAAAGATCGACACTACTAGCAGCTCTTATTGTCGATTTCACTACGGGCATCCCTATCGGTCAGTTAGCTGTCACTGTCACTTTGACATTGGATCAGTTTCGCGCCAATATACTTCCAAGTTGTCATTCTTCTAAAACTATTGGAATCGCCATGGTGATTTTAAATATATCAATTGAATAGTAAGATGTGGCATTCATTATTAAGTAAGCAGTTCTCTATGTATAGCTATACATATATGAATAGATATTAAATGAAATATGTAGGTTAAGTACAAGATATATAAGATTAATGATATATACCTTATTGCACACTTTTGAATATAAAAAAATATATAAGAATAGTATAAAAGGAAGGCTTCAACTAGGGTTACCATAACTCAAGATTTGTCCTAAGATCTCAGGATTTTTTTACTATTCTCAGAAATGCGGTCGGATTTTACAGACGACACTCTGACCTGGTGATTTTGGACAAACAAATTCTACAGCTTTATAGTATTACAAGTATAGATAAATATATATTATGGCATAGCGAAGTGCCTTTAAATATGTCTTACCTACACAGCATGGGGTCCCAGTTTAGAGTTTCCAAATTCATGAGTAGAGTCCTAGAGGCATTAGTTACATCTGTAATGTGAAGTCCACCTTGAACACCCCCCGTTAAATTCTGAAAATAAACGACACATACAATAAAAGCCACCTTCACAAAGGCCGGTCATAAGATGGGTGACCAAAAATAAATAAGAAGTGTTCTTCCATGCTGCGGAAATCACGCTAGTTGGTCCCAGTTGCATCTAAAGATAATTACGCAAATACCCACCAATCCGCAATGGGCCCATGTAGTAGTAGGTTATGGCCCGATCTCCTATTCTATTCAATCTATAGAAAGGAAAGACTTACGCCCCAGCAGTAGGTTGAGTTAAAAATGTGACAAAATTCATTCATGATCCAATTCATCTCTGCCTATAGCTTGAAGATTTACGACCAAATCATTATTCGCAAAAAGTAAAGCAACATTAGAAATTATGGATACTACTCCTACGAATTAACATGACACCTGAAGGTCTATTCCATTCCTCCGAAAACGAAATCTCGTCTATTTCTAAAAATATTACAGAACACATCTAGATGTATTTTATAACTATTCTGCATTAGGCTGCATGGTAACCCACTCATTTGCCTCCTTAAAAAATGACGATAAATATGTAAAAGGAACTATTACCTTAAAAACAAAAAACAAACTTACCCATATAATCCAAGAGTCAACAGTCCCAAATAGTAACCGCTTGTCTCTGCTGGCTCTCCTAACAGCCTTCACGTTGTCCTTCAGCCACCTCATCTTCAGAGCACTGAAGTATGGACTGATTGGTAATCCACATATGTTCTTCAGATGATTCTTATTTCTGTCTGGCACTTTAGCTAGGATAGCGTCCACCGTTGAATCTGTTCTTATGTCGTTCCATCCTTAAAACAATATTTTATTGTTACATTCAACGCATATGGCATATTAAACTCTATTACCACATAGTAAAATTGTAATGTGTAGGAATGCGACCCGCCTAACTCTCTAGGCATAAAATACGACATCTTAACGATTTTGTGACGATATTTCGTTACATTTTATTACTTTGGCATGTGTTTTGTTGGAGAAATTTGGAATAAATGACTAATTTGGATACACTGCTGCCATTTGATCATCATTTATTCGGCTTATTAAAGTATATACTTACATGTGAAAGTAGTAAACTGAAATGAAATAGCGGTATTACATAGCTTATTATATATATATATTTTACCAGATATTTTTGCACTGGATAACGGCAGCAAGAGAGACATTTACTTATATTATTTAATATTACATCCCACAGTATAAAAACCGGCAAGTGCGAGATGGACTCGCGCATGAAAACTCAACAAATTACCTTTGTTTTAAGGGACCCCCATTGAATATTTATTTTATTATTTTTTTAGTATTAATGCAATAATATACATCATCTATGAAATTTATAAAACACGAACAGCCAGACGGAAAGCAGAGTTTTAGTAATAGTTCCGTTTTAACATTTGGACACATAACCCTAAAAGAGCGATGACATTTCAAATCCTATCATGAGTACAATCGGCAGCACGTAAGATTGATATGAAAGATGTCAATTTCTTTAAGCTATTAAATATTCGGCCATTATTACGTTAACAACAGAATCGGTGCCCAGTTCGTATTCGATACACAAACATAATTTACCTCTAACGGTATAAATGAACTTGATCTTTATAAACAGAGTCACTGACCTCTAGAACAGCCACTGGTTGTCAACAAGTTCAAGTAACAATAAATAAAAATCATTTACATTGGAATCAACAATATTAATTCCGTATATACAACCGCTGAAATGTGTATACTCTAAATAGTGATAATGACAAATAACTAAGCGAAACGACCTCCGCTAATCTTTAGAGTTGATTCAAATCTGATGGAACATAAATTCAAACAGATATGTAGTTTTGAATGTCATATTAAATAAAAAATATATTTTTTATTTAAGTCTCATTTCTATGTCTGTAATCAATGTTAATTATCCTGTCATAATTTGGAACGATGTATGAAATTATAAGCATGTATTTTTTTATTGTTATTCTTTACCAAATATTGATTAAAATTCAACATTCCTAATATTTATTATTTATAAAATGTAGAAAAAAAGCTAATAATATATTTTTAATCTAATAAATTTATTTTATATTCAAGCTAGTAAGCATGTGATTGGCATCTAAATGAATAAATAAATCATAATTAATTTATCACTTATTACAATTAACATAAGCGTCAACTTCCGATACCGACTTGTTCAAAGTCTTGTAGGGTTAACAAACGTTTAAGTCCCTGACATTCATAGGTCAAACCTGACATACATAAATTTTCTTTACAAGTGGAAAAAATCAACACTTTTCGACCTTCAATAAGTCGGCTCACTTTTAGAGGTCACATGAAACTTATTTAAGGAACTACAAAAATAAGGATGACACGTATTTTTTTAACCTAAACTTGATGTGTAAACTGGAGATGAAACGGATATCCGGTTGGTACCCGGCCTTGTTTTCACTATCCGGCGGACAGCAAACTTCAATGTATTCTAATTATATTACACAAAGCAAATCAAACCACAAAATATTTATGCATGTTTATTAATTAGTTAGATTAGTATTCTTAATTAAGAATGCTTAAAATATATTAATTAGTACTCAAAATGAAGAAACAAGTTGTGTTGAATGAATACCAAATTTTCCGCATTTGTTGGTAAGGCGCCTCCGTTTCGAATATTACCAATCTCGTTCAGCGTGCCTATATTCAATGCACACTGTTCGCGTCATGTAACGCGAGAAAGAGCCGAATATCTGGTAGCCAGATATCTGGCGCTCCGGCCTCTTAGCTGGCCGAATTCCTGTATCCGGCAAAACCACTATCCGTTTCATCACTTATGTAAACCTAAGAAATGGCCGGTAAGATTTCAATTACCTATAGCTGGATGTAACGGCTCCCCGGTAAGTTTGTCCCATGCTATAGTTGTTTCCCTTTGGTTTGTGATGCCTAACGTTACCAAATCTTCTTTACTATAACCTGAAATGGAGAAGGAAGCATCAAGTATGATATAGGTAGAATGTTTATATTTTACACTGATACACATGGCGGCATATGAGATTACCACAAATTAGCAAATTTTAGCAATTGAATTATTTTGTTAAATTGCGATAAACTTACTTTGGACCTTAAAAGTATAAAGAGTTAGATTCAATATTCTTAATGAAAAATGGATTTATATTAATTCGAATCAGAATGTATTTCTGTTCTCTTAAATAGAAATTCCCAATCGAAATCAATAAAATTTAGTTCTTATGTAATGTGATAGAATTGAAAGGAAGGTTCGCTAGCTTTTCTAATGTTTAATGTTCATTTCTCAATAAACGTTTAAAATATTAACTAACTAATTATGTCAACATTCCACCGACGTGCTCTGTTAACTTCCTCGACATTATTTATGAACCGATATACATTCGAAATTTCATTGATTGACATGCAGTGATTCTCAAAACGGGGTATTCGAACCCCGAGGGGTCGTCAGAAGATCAGTGGTAGTTTGCAATGTAATTGACATAATATAACAAACATCTATATTTGAAACCCTCAATCATTATTTAAACTGCAAGTACCCTAACAGCATATTTTATTCTATCAACAAGGCTACCCAAGTTTTTCCGGTCGGACAGGAACCAAGTTATTCGCACATGTATATTAACATAAATCATATATTTGTTTATATTGACGACCTCCATAGCCGAGTGGTTCGCACGCCGGTTTCAAGGAGTCGCCATCTCTGAGGTTTCGGGTTCGATTCCCGGCCGGGTCAATGTAGAAAATGAACTTTTATATATTGTCTCGGGTCTGGGTGTTGTATTACCTTCGTTGTCTCAGATACTCCATAATACGGGTGCTTTAGCTACACATCTTGGAATCTGAGCAACATGTGTAATGTTGTTTAATATTTATTTTTATATATTTTTTTCTTACCTAATTCAGTCAGTTGCCCGATAGCCTGTTCAGCACACACTTTGATATGGTGTATGATCTCTAATGGGTCTTGTTCCCACCACCCCTCTTGGGGCTGGATTTCCGTTTTGTCGAGTTGATATGACGTCAACTCTTCCGATCTCTCTGCCTCATATATCTGACGGGTAGATAATATCAGAACTATACAAATCTAGTATTCATTAACAAAAACATAATATTTGCTAAAGATAAAATCACAGCTACAGCTAAGTACAGTTGCCAACAAAAAGAAGTACACCTGTATAAAATAAAGTACTTTATCATTTACTCCAACATGTACGTAGGTCCAGGTATTGACAAAATCATACTTAACATAATTCTATTTCATACTTAAACTTATATGGCCTGTATAAGCTACAAATTGACAATTATAAATTAAATACATTAAACTTCTTTTCATTAGACAATACAAAACAACAAATTAGTCATAATTTATATTAGACTTTGGCATCGCGCCCTTTACACATTGATAGCAGGGTTAAATCGCCTCATAATAAGGTCACCGGAGTTTATATTGATAAATAACGAGCGGCTCGATAAAATCGATAAACGGTATGCTTCAGTAGTTGATAAATGAGTAAAATTATTAAATTTACGATTGCTGTAGATGTTCTTTTTAAATTACATTGACAACTGATTGAACAGCACGTATTATATATTTAATAAACTAATGTACCTATCCAATCTAAATCTACTAATGCCAAATATTAAGATGACGTACATAGCATTTTTCTACTAGGTACATACGATCTCACGGAACTTATTCGCATTAATTAATAATGGACTGGGGGAGTGGCTTTTTGATTTATTTTAAAACTGTTTACAGAGCAATTCTATATATAATAGCGATAACAAATATTATTTATCCAACTTCCACCCACCAATGAACGAACATACAAGACATATTTAGAACAGTATGATTAAACCAGTAACCCATTCATAACAGTGCCAAGTAAAATCACATGTGAAAATATGTTTACACTTTCATTAGATAAAATAACATCGTTTTTCACGTGACTGTACGTAGCGGCAAAGATGACAATGAATTGTCTTCATTTGAACATAGACATTTTCGGGCAGTTTATTAGTTTGACAACAGATGGCAGATTTGAAATGCTTACCACAAATCTTACAGTCTTCGTTCCGTCATCTATGACGCCGATCAGCGGCCGCTTGCTGTCGTCTTTGACGGGCATATCGCCTTCTGTAACAGAAAAAGCTCCTATTACCAGCTATTACTTTCTACTTTTGTTAAGGAATATGTTTTTTCTAAAATTTGGATTGCGCAAATATGATCACATTTCTCAATTTCAAACCCAGCTCAAGTGGCTTCCTATTCGTTTTCGCCGGAATGCTCATATACTATCCCTCCTCTACAACTTACTGCTTAATCCCCTTTACCCCCGCTATCTGGAAGACCGCTTTAGTCCTTTAAACTTTTCTACCTCCTGTAGTTTGAGATCATCAGAAAATCTGAAACTGAAAACGCCTCTACATAGCACCACCTTCTATGGTGGTTCCTTCAGCGTCCAAGCTGTGCAACTCTGGAATGCCCTCCCGACTTCATTAAGACGTGCAAAATCGATAAATATCTTCAAAGATTTGGTGAAAAACCGCCATTTGTTCACATAACTATGCTGTTACAACAAGTTCATAATTTCTCTGGTAGACTTAATTAAGATTTAATATCTACTGAATTTTTTTTTTTTTTTTTTTTTTTTTTTTTTTTTTTTTTTTTTATTTGGGATAACAACAGCTTTTATACTAAATATATTGTACATAGTGTCTTATATAAATCTAAGCCATTTATAGCTATCCACGATACATTATATAGAGGTCGTTAGCAGCCAGGTGTTACTTAGAACTAATTAATTTATAAATAATACTAAGATATGATTAGATCTATTGTTAGTAATATAAATTATGTTAATCGTCATTCAGAAAAGCAATTAAACTGAGTTTTAATACAGTGAGCAATTGAACCACATAAAAAAGTAAGCAAACACTGAGCGAGTAGGTCACTTCATACACGTTATGCCGCGGAGAGAACATACAAGAAATAAGACATCTAAATGCTGGTGCTTAGGTGTGTATGTATTTTGTCTTTGAATGATTGCTTAGATTCAGTGAAAGGGTCGATTGCAGAAAAATTTTTGTTATATGAGTTGACAATACGGGTGAAAACGGCATTCTTACCGTAATTGGTAGTATGATGTGGTACGTGAAACAGTGGCGTGTGTCTGGTACGACGTGTCGGTGCACAAAGGGAGATATGATTTGTGAGGTCGGGACAATCAAAGCGACCACGCACTATATCAAATACCAAGCATGCGTCTAAAGCTCGGCGGCGTGCTTCGAGAGTGAGCAAGTGAAATGCTCGACAACTTGTAGTATAGCTTGTGGAGGGCTTGTGGCATTTAAAGCTTAGATATTTTATAAACTTCTTTTGAATCCTTTCAATGCGGTAAGTGTGGGTTTTGTAACATGGTGACCATATGGGACTCGCGTACTCTAATATGCTACGAACGTACGCATAGTAAACGACTAAGATGCTCAAAGAATTATTGAACTGTTTGCAGGTTCTCATAATGAACCCCAGATTTCTGTAAGCTTTATTAACCATCCTAGATACGTGATCGGTTAGAAGAAATTTTGTATCAAAGAAAACGCCGAGATCCCGCACGACATCGGTCCGCTCCAATACAACGTTATTGAAATTATAGGAGAAAGTAATAGGTTTCCTATTACGGGTGAAGCTGATGCACTGACATTTTTTAATACTTATTGTGATTCTGTTTACTGTGTAGTATTCAAAAAGTTTATTTAAGTCTGATTGTAGAAGCTCACAATCAGAAATTGAGCGAATGCGCATATATATTTTTTTGTCGTCTGCATACATTATGTGGTTAGCGTTACTGAAGCAAGTATTTATGTCAAAAATATAAGCGTTGTAGAGGAGGGGGCCAAGATGCGAGCCTTGGGGAACCCCAGAGGGCACATCAATATAATCCGATCTGTAGCCTCCCAAGACGACCGCCTGGGACCTGTTGGTTAGATATGAGCGCACCCAGCGAAGCAAGTCTCCGTGTATACCTAGGAGTTCAAGTTTGTGGAGAAGAATGTTATGATCCACACGGTCGAAAGCTTTCTCGAAATCCGTGTAGATCACGTCAACTTGACCGCCGTCTTCCATATTATTAATCACGTAATCCGAAAACAAAGCTAGGTTAGACACAGTGGAGCGTCCCTTTAAAAAACCGTGTTGTGTACTGGGTAAACCTTTGACTATGGTGTGATAAACGTCTGTGTAAACTATTGCCTCAAAGATTTTACTTATGGAATTTAAAATTGAAATGGGTCGATAGTTTTCAATACATAAGCGTGAGCCTTTTTTGTGCAGAGGGATAATTTGTGCTCGTTTCCAAAGCACTGGAAATACGCATTCACTAAGAGATTTACGAAAAAGCATTAGTATTGGTGATGCTAATGTGTCCGCACATGATTGAAGAAAAATGGGAGGAATACCGTCGCTGCCGGGGCCTTTTGAGATGTCCAATGAGCGCAAGTGTTTATTCACAGTATCGTAATTTATGTTAATTTTAGATAGTATTTCAAGGCTTGGGGGTGTATAGTCAAAAGGAGGATTATAAGTACCATTATTCGGTTTTATGAAAACGCTCTCAAAAAATCGGTTAAAGGCAGAGCATATTTCATTTCCGTCGTTAACATAATCATCACCAAATTTTATACTTTTTGGAAAACTAGAGGTGTTTTTTTTTAGATTTTATGTATTTCCAGAAGTGTTTAGGATTGCGTCGGATATGTTCCTCTGCGTTAAGCGTGAACTTAATGAAACATTGCGACTGAATTCGTTTTTCTCTGGCTCAAAGTAGAGAGAACTCGTCATAGTCCAATGAATTTTTAAAGCGTTTCCACTTCTTATGCATTTTAATTTTTTCACGATTAATCTTAATAAGCGCAGGAGTGTACCATGCAGGATAATTCTTTAAGTTAGGAAACCTACTAAGAGGTACGTATAACGTGACACATTCCTGTAGAACAGTGTTAAAAGTGTTAAGAGCGCTATCCATTGGTTTAGTCTGTAGTAATTTCGTCCAGTCCTTATTTAAAAAAAATGTATTTATCTTGTTGTAGTCGCACTTATGAAAATTATACCGTGGAGAATAGCCCTCTTTCAGAGGCGAGATATGTAGATCAAGAACTACTATGATTAGGGAGGGGTGGTGTGCGTCTTCCTTAACTATAGGGTAGGCACACGTTGTAACAGCTAATGGAAGGTTCGAGAAGCAAAGATCAAGTATATTGCCTTTAGAGTTGTGTGTGTAGTTGTACTGTGATAGTCCAAAGAAACTTAGATCATCCAAGAAACTCGATACCTCATCGAATGAAACATTAGAGTGATTATGCGAGCGACTGTAACTATCGTTATTCCAGGCTATGCAAGAAAAATTAAAATCTCCAATTAAAAGAAATTTATCGGAAGGGTGAAGCGATGTGATGAGATGTAAATCACGCCTCAGGTCTTCCACACGTTCAAGGAAATTATTTCTTTCAGGAGGTATGTATACGAGGATAACATGAAGATCAAATGAGGCGCGCAAGGCGCGGGCAGGCACAGTAACGCATAAAGTTTCCGTGAGATCGTTTCGTAACCACTGAGTCCTATGAATCACATTGATGTCCCTTTTCGAACATATCATCACGCCACCTCCCGTTTTTTTTTGTGTTACCCGTAGGTTACGGTCGCATCTAAAGACATCATAACGTGGGTCACAAAATTCCGAATTCAGAACGTCCCCCTGCAGCCAGGTTTCCGTAAATAAAAGAAGATCATATTCATTATTTAAAATATTGTGCGCTAATTCGATACATTTAGTGCGCAAGCCGCGAGAATTTTGATAGTAAACGTTTAGATTATTAAAAAAAAGTTTATTAGTAGCCATTGGGTATTAATAAAGAATAATTGTTATACGTTGCAATTTGAAGTAACAATGTTATTAAATTGTGAGCGAAACGCCATACAATTGTATAAATGAACGAAGAAAACCTGTTGCAGCGGGCGCAGTCTGATATTATGCATAAGAGGGGCCCAGATGAACTATATATACGTATAGTTTGAAGTCGACGGAAACAAGCCTGTGAAAAGAACTGTGATAATGACACAGATGCATCGTGTATTGAGATAGGTATGATATTAATAATAAGTGTGGTGAATAGGCATACTAGACACAGACATATAGTCTGTGACGAATAGCCATTACTGATGTCAATGTCAAGTGATAAAATGTAACGATGATATCTTATATAGGAATTCAGTGGGGCAATAAACAGACGCATGTAGAATAATAATTTATATGCAATTATGTATTGTTTTCCGGTAGTTGTTTGCTTCGATTTGTCTCGAAATACAATAATTAGAGAGTGCATGGTCATAATTGAATAGTGATGAGTACCCATATAATAATTATGAGGAGTAAAATAAATAAATGTTTTAGATCTACCTACCAAAAAGTCACGGCAATTGATTGGAAGTGATAATAATAATTTGTAATTTAAGTTTATGGTCCTGATTGAGTTAGATGCTTTACGATTTATTTGTTGATAAGATAAGCAAAAGACAAAGTACATATAATATACATAACGAATATATATTTCAAAACTTAAGATTAAATGAAATTTTTTACCTGTGGTTATATTAGTAGAATTATGGGTATACAAATATAGACATATTTTGACAAAACTGCTATAAGGCGTCAAAGACGTCACAAAAAATAAAGCAAATAGAAAAAGTCACTTAATTTTACAAAGATCACTAAGGTCCTTAATTATGAATGAAGGTGAGGTATCATTTTTACGAATGTAAATTTTACAGTTGCGAATCCAAACATATTTGAAGTTAGCGACTACAGCTGCTTCTCTGGCTTTTTTATGGAGTTGTTTATAGTGAGGTATTAGATGTTCACATACGAATATTTTGCGTGGGTCGCCTGCGATACCGATGTCGGCTGTTGTGATGCCTTTCCTTTTTCTGATACCCGAGAGGATGTTATCCTTTAATTGAAGTGACTTGAACTTTGCGACGATATTCTTAGGTTTATTAGGTACACGGGTCGGAACACGGTGTGCATGTATCAAATCGTCCTCAGAGACTTTTAACCCGACACAGTTCGCGATAGAGATTAG